CTGTCACCATATGACCTAATCTTGGTGAGCATTGTTACAAAGCCTGTTTAACTGATTAATAATTGTTATTTATTTGCAAATGCAAACATTAAGCCCATAAAGTTTTAACGTGTTAAAATAATCACAATATTTATACCTCTGTAACTTCTAGATAAAAAGTAGTATGAGCAGTCTCACTTTTACTTTCTGTTTGCTAAAGCACTCATTTTTATCAGCTGGCAAATAACCTTTAGTAACAGCTTTATTAAAACCAAATACTTATTTGTGATAGTTCATTTGAAATACAAATACTGTGAGTGCCAGAATATCTTTTGGTTTCACAATATTTCTAATTAAACTATTTCCCATGCAGCTTTCCAGGCCACAGTCACAAAGGTCTTCAATGCAATGAATAATGATAGCAGAAGTACTAAAATGAAGATATTGCACTGAAATAGAAAATCCGTTGAATGCTAATTTACTGAGTTCTCTGTGAGATACAGAATGAGGGTTTTCTTTCTGTGCTCTTAAACTCTTCTTGTGAAAAAGATGTCTCCACATCTCTTTCTTTAAATGCTTGCTTCAGCATAGCCTTACTAAGTTCAAGAGCCATGCTCTTTATGTGCATGCTTGTATGCTCATCTCTTTCAGTTTATGCATTTAGGATTCAGTTTAGGATTTCATTTTCACCAGGATTTCAGAATTGTATATTGCAAATGCATTGGAACATTTTAAGACCAATGCTCATCTTCACTAACAGGCATCAAAAATTCTTCTCTTACTGAATCTATATATGTTACTAAAATTTGTTTGCTTTTGAAGTGTTTTGATTCATTTTATCAAACAAGAAGTACTTAAGTGAGCAAATTCTGTTGAAAAAAGAAAGCATTGTTGTACAAAGCTCATCAGAATTTGGTTTTACTGCTCTGTTTCTCAACCACAGTGTAACACTCTGGTACACTGTCCACCTTTGAAGCTCTGTGCTTCCCTCACCTGCATTTACAGGTTCAGTGCTGACACCTCTTGATTCTACGGTGAACCCCACAGTATCTTCCTAACATCACAGCTTCTGGGATTGTTAGTGCTTGATTAAATAAATAAATAAATAGTGAAACTTTTAAGCTCTCAGGGGTAATTTCATGAGTGAAAAAGGAAAAAAATAGGTAAGGGCATACCAGATATGCACCAAACAACTCACAACTCATCACTCAAGCCAATTTTCCAATTTCCTTTAAGCAGTATTTTTGGAGTTGATTTTTTACACAGGAATTTGTGGTGTTGAATTAAGAGTTGGGTGATTGGTATTTATTATGAATTACATGAAAAGATTGCTTCCTCATCTAAATTAAACCAAGATTAGAAACATCAGATCATCTTCTAGCTAGTAGAAGCACAGACAAAATGCATCGTTACTATAACCCCTCCTTTCTAAGGAGCAACAGAATCTCTGAATAATGCCTTTTCCAAATGACTTTCTTGATAGAGTGGAATATATTCCGCTAGTGAACAAATTGTTTAGTCTTATCCCCACAAATCAAATTATTTTAAAAGATCCTGGAGGAGTAAAGTCTCTTTACTGTCATGAATTCAACTCCTGGTGAAGTAGAAAAACCATGACAATCGCAGTCACTTTAATGAAATGTATGTCTCAAATCACATTTTCTCTGTTTGACTTGTTTATTAGGGCAAGAAAACGCAGCATGGGCTTCACGAACATATTAGCTAATTAGGCAACATTTTCTGAAATTTGCACACACTTCACAGCCAGTAAAGGACAAACAATGGTCTGTGAGAAGGTATTACCATTCCTTTGGATGAGGAATCCTAAACAAATTCACTTTTCACTGCAAGAAGTACAGAAGGAGCCTTTGGAGCATGGGAGGAGTGCTTTTATTCAATTTATTGAATTGAATAATTCAATAATTCAAATTGGTTTATTCAATTTGTTTTGTACACTGCTGCACATTTTTGTATCAAAAAGTGTTGACTGCAAATTTGGTAGGATGCTGACTTCCTACAGTAAACCTTCTGTAATCAGAGATATACTTTACTTGTAAGCCTTATCTGGAGCTACAGTTTTGAGGTTCTTGTCTCACAAGACTGAAGTAACAGAAATAACAGAGAGGAGCTATAGTTTGCAGACAGTGGGATTCTGCTTTTTTCCACTTGCCTGAATTTTGAGAATACTAGTAGGTGATATTTTCAAGGTGAGATTATGTCATTTCAATTAATTTTCTCAAAGTTTCGTTTTTTGTTGTTGTTAGGTCAGTTGTTTTTAATAAAATGTAAATTGAAGGTGTGCAGAGAAAAAAAAAAAAAAAAAAAAGACATCATAGAGAGCAAGAGTGAGATTGGTATTTAACCAAGCACCTCTATTTTTAACCTCTACCAAAGATTTGCCTACAGCCCCTAATATACCTCAGGCTGGAAAAATTTCTTTTACAGCTCAGCCTGCATTAAAGATCAAGACAGGGAGTTAAGTCTCCATAGAGAAAATTCATATCGGAAACCCACAGCCACAAACAGCGTTGAGAGTAAACTGACTTTCCATTCTTTTGAGTCTGGTAAACTGTAATGTCCCTGGGCTACCATCTTGGACCTGCTCTTGTATGTTTTATGAAATACCTGAATGAGCTACTCAGGTTGAGCTGATTTGAAAGTTTTATCTTTCTGTAGCATCACATAAGAGTTATGAAGAGAGAACTTATTCATGTGAACTACTGGAGGGTTAAATCCCCTTCTGCCACAGTTTGACACTCCACTTTAGCCTAGGAACTGTCTATAACTCTCACCTGAAATCCCAGAGACATGATTTAATGTCCTTGCAAACATTATGGAATAGGGCTTTTTGCAACACGGGATGTTATTGGCAAGTACTACAATCATTAAACTTGACGGGATATGAGGTGAGAACAGAGAAAGGCACATGATATGGTTTATCTCATTTTTACAGGTTTTTATTGAATAATTCAGAAGCACTGCAATAGCAGTGGTATGAGGTTCCAGACTGAGTGATGACAACGATACAGTGAAAAACTTTCACTATCCTTGATCTTTCCGAACTTTGTGCCTAACTCTCTTCCAAATCTAAACAACAAGTGGTCTTCGGAGCATTAATATTATTTCAGTTCTAGTTATGCATTAAAATATATTCATTTTCTGAAGTATCTGTTCTTCCTGCTATGATTATTGTTACTACTTTGAGTAGTAACTCAAGATATCAAAGAGATATAAACTGTTGGGGGAGAAGTAATTTGTCTTCTGTTATGATTAGTGTTTCTCCTAGATCTGATTTATTTGTCTCATAGAGGTCTAATGAGGTTCAACTGAATGCAATTCATTATTTTAAAATTATAGTTGTAATTTCCAGCCTTTTTCTGCAAATCTAGGAAATACAACTTTATATTTCCTCAGCACTATTGAAACTGTGGACTTTATTATAAAGATTTACCTGTTGTACTTTCATCTTTACTTTTACTTTAGCCATCTTATTAATAAAAGAAGAAAACTGCATAAAGTTGTCCTGATAAAGTACATAGGGTGAACATTGTTGTTAAATGACCTAATGTTCTTGATCAACAATTATGCTTCCATTTTAAGAAAGGGCTTGGACATTACAAATCTATTTATATGCTATGCCTTAGGCTTGTGGAAATATTAAATAATCCCCTTAATACACTACAAAAGCAGCAGTGAACTCCAGTCAAAAATGAGTGACCAAATACAAGCATAACAATTTTAGGCCTACAGACCTCAAATTCAGTGCAGTGACTTTTTTTTTTTTTGGTCTGATGGAAGAAAATGAACAAATACCTCAATTCATTTTAACGGTATCAAAAAAGGTAAGTGATATCATTTAATCATGTGGCTGCACCTTCTGTTTCACTGCAAAGAAGTGCTCAGACTTCTAGGCAAAGAGACAGACTCTTTCATAAAGGACTTCAAGGTCAAATTCCCTTTGACTTCAGTGGGCTGTTACCATGCATATATGAACAAGGCAAAATTCTTGCTCTTGACCAGATGGTATTTTCATTGTTGTGAATGAACTGTTGAAATTCCAACAGAATTTTGCAATTAGCCTTGAGGATTTCCCTCTGCTGCGGAAAAGATAGATTCTAGTTAAACATCAGTTCTGAACCTGTTGTTGGAAGGATCTGACTGAATCTTTGATGTGTACCTTTCAGTCCTTCAGCCACACTTTAGGTGAAGTTTACCTAAGTACTCAAAAACTTTCTAATGTTTTTCTCAGCAGTTTCTGGACACACAACTTCGTGGGGAGAGGACTCCTAGCTATTCCAGCCCAGGAAGTTAAATTGTGGTTAATTACTACCTTGGCAGATGGCATGGACTCCTCAAGGCTGTTAAGTAACCTCGCCAGTCCTGAATGAGTAAGAGGGTAGAGAAGGGATTATTTTAGTCCTGGTTTCATTAGCACAGATCACTGCTCACTCACTTTCGCTTACAAAATCCGTTCTTGATAATTTTCAGTTACTTGATAACACAGAAACTAGAAATGCAGAGCCGGGAGCTTTTTAGTGCTGTTTTTATGTTGGTATTTGTTTGTTAGGGGGAAGGATTGATGGTGGTTTGGTTTTTCTTTCCTGAATAGATTTTTCTCACCCTATAGAGGGAAAGTGAATCAGAGTGAGGTGAAGGAGTTAATGTCTTGCTGATGTTCCCAGCACAGAAATATGTAATGGTGAAGAGAGGGTGCATTGAAGACACCAGCCCAGTGCTTTGACTACGTGGGCAGTATATAAATCTGAACTCCTAGCAAGAGTCTTGTTTCCTGTTTGACTTAGGAACTTACATGTACTTCTGCTGTTTCCATTTTCCTCATATCAGATAATCACTATACCATGTGCTGAGCTAGAAAAGAGAAATCAGACAGAAAATGAACTTCACCTTAAAAAGCAAATGAAAAACCTAAAACAGAGATGATCAGTCTGGGTCTAACAGATCAGTATGACCAGTTATGCAAATGTCAGTGCAGCAAATAGAGAATTAAGGAAACAAGTAGGATAACTCTTCACAGTACCAGTTTGAATTGAGGTTGGTTTAAATTATGTAAGCTTGACCCAATTTAAACTATTATGGTCAGGCTTGAGGTGAGTTCTGAGTGCAGATTTTAGACTTTTCAGTAGGATTCAGCAGGTGATTACGCACGAGGTTCAGATTGGAATGGGATAGCTTTAGGCACAAGCCCTACGTTTCTGATCAATGCTGGGTAAAAATGCCCTTAGCATCACCCTCAGAGAATGTTTTCCTTTTGGTTTTGCTGGCTTTTTAGCAAGTTCTCAGGCATTTTACTGAGGAAAACATAATTTTTTAAACTGAAAAGTACAGTCTGAACAGGGAATGGGGTGCCAGATACACTGTTCAGAATGACTCAGAGGGATTGTGTTAGGTTTACCTGGCAAGGTTTTGGTAGTGGGGGGCTGCAGGAGTAGTCTCTGTGAGCAGAGCCCCATGTCAGAGCAGAGCCAGCTCCAGCTGAAATGAGAGCTATATCCCTGCAGCCCCACCCCCACTACTCACTCACCTGTGGCTCTTTTCAGTGATACCCAGCACCAGGACAGGAGACAAGGAGCACAAGGTGAAACACAAGAGGTTCTGTCTGAAAAGGAATCACTTCTTGACTGAGCATGTAATTGACATACTTTTCCCAGAGACGCTATGTTTATCTCCACTACTGCAGATTCAAAAGCAATGCCATACTCCTCTCCCAGCACATCTACCCCATTGGAATCATCAGGCACACAAGGAAGCAGCAGGAAAGTAGAAGAAAGCAGCAGTAGTAGGAATAGTGACATCAGGACATTGACAGCAGTTCAGAGACTTTTTCTGTGGTTTTTATTTTTTTGCTTTTATTTTTTCAGTGTCTGACAATTAGATTCATACTACTATTGAGAGCCTCTAGGTACCCCTAGAGGGGCTGGTGTTTGCCCCAGCAGCTGGCCTGGCCCTGGTTGCCTGCTCCTGGGGCACCACCCTAGTGTCACTGGTGCAATGCCCTCTAGGGGGCCAGAGAGTTGGGGGAAGCCGATGCCCTCCTTCTGGGGGCTTGTCGTCCCCCCCTTCGTGCGTGGCCTCTGCCCTGTTGACCAGCAGAAGGACCAGCCACAGCCTCCCCTGGCTCCTCCTGAGGCACTTCATCCCCACAAATGGGAAAACAGACAGAAGAGGGGTGGCTGAGGCCCCCATGAGGAGCAGCAGTGGAGGAGCTAGGAAGTCCTTCTACGTTGGCTCTGGCAGGGCTGCCGGAGGAGAACAGAGCAGGAGTGGAAGACTCTCCCAAGGACACAGAGAGCCCAGGGGAAGTTTCAGGGCTGTCTTCCAGCCCCATGGCAGCATGAAAGTTATCTAGGCTCAGCAGACGACGTGCCTCCCGAAAACAATGACGTACAATGAACTTAATGAGCTGGTGAACAAACATTACTGTGTGATTTTTCAGGTAGAACTGCAGCCACGGGACTAAAGCATCTTCTTGCAGCCCAAAGGTGCGCAGGCTGGACAGAATGAGGTCTTCCACCACTTCTGCTTGGCAGTTCTCAGCACGAAGAAGATGATGAAGTTCACGGTCCAGCCAGGGCAATAGGGGCTGGAGCAAAGCTGGGTATTCTCGGAAGAGCGATGCCCACAGAAAGGGATGGATGCCACCCAGAGGAGCACTGGAAACCAGCCCCACAGACAATAGCTGGGATGTTACAGGGCGGCGGGGGCTGCGTAACGATGAGAGTTGAGTAGGTCTTCTTTCACGGCTGATAAAGAAAGAGGCCCCCACAGGTGGTCTGATGGTCACTTCTTCAAAGTTGTCATCTGCCTGCACCGAATGCACAATGGAGGTCACTCTCCCCTTGCAAAGGGGGCACTCAGGCTTCCTCTCTGCCCAGCGCTGGATGCACTTAAAACAAAACCGGTGCAGGCACGGCAGTACATAGCCAGCATTACTCCACATGTCTAGGCAGATTGGGCAGCGCTTGTCCGGTGCTGAGGCCATGCTCTCTATGTGCTCTGAAGGGCTGGGCAGAGGTGGGAGGACAAGCTGCTCCCTCCCACTGGTGCTGTAGCAGCTGCTGTCACACTACAAGAGGAGGAGAGGACAAGGTCATCCGCTGAGCTGGGGAGTGGTGGAAGAATTGTCCAGCACCCTTGAGGAAGAAACCCTTACAGATGACCAGGAGGACGTGTCCCCACAGCGCTCACCTCTGCTCTTCCAAGATCACCTCCCGGGTGCCCTGCTTGAACCAGGCAGGGCCGTGGGAGAAGCTCTGCTGGCTCGAGGGCTGCTCCAGCAACTCCCAAAGCACAGCACCGGGACCAAGGCAACCCTTGCTCCTCACTCTAGACTTAACATAAAAGCTCAGCTGGGACACAGGCGCAAGCTGACTGCATGACACCTTGCCCAGATGAACAGCGATGACCACAGTCACAATCCATCACTTGCAGATGTCACTGTCCACCAGTCAGTGACATCACAGTTGGCTCTCACCCACAGCGCTTGCCCTAACAGTGTTCTAGCCTGCATCAACACTTGCACCATTACACACGTGTCTATGCCATCCTACAAAATGCCCTTGTCCACTCCATCCCCCGCATCATTTGGCTTCTGATGAACTTCCAAGTTTCATGACAGTTGACAAGGCCTTGGCTGGCCATGGCTTCCCAGGGCCCAGTCAAGTCACTCAGGCAATGGTACACATCTCTTGCAAGGATTAGTCAGAACATTAACTACAACAGGTCTCACAAACCCAAACCGCCCCACAACAGATTTCCAAAAGTGATATATCCCTCAACATATGAGAAAATTCACTTTTTATCCAACACAACAAAGTGTGCAATGAAACTAAAGAATCCAAGAAATGAATGAAAGTCTTGCTCCTAGTTGACACTTAATGTTCACAATTGATGACTTAAATGGAGAGCCAGTGGAAGGAAAGCTTTGGCACAGTCAACAAAAGGGCACTCATAGCATCAGTGTGCTCTCTTCACAGTCCCTGCTGGATGCTTACCTATAACATAATGCTAGAGAAGTCACCACAGTTCCCTCAATGTACTCACCAGAACTCATCCTGATTCTGATGCTCCAGCCATCAAACCCACTCACAATGAAGGAAATACTCACTGTCTTGGAATTAAGCTTTTGAACAAATGTTTGAGGAATTTTTTACTGCCTCAGTCTTCTGCACTTTGAATGTAGAAACTACATGCCTGTACTGAACAGGTGGTACAAACATTTCTCATGTGTGTCAGTGGCATTTGGCCCAAACTCACTGACAGACAGAATGTCAGTACAGAAGTACAGCATTTTCTAATTACTTCAGAAACTGGACAAAGGGCACCAAGAACAGGCAAGAAAGCTCTGAGTAGTAAATACTAGCTTTAAAGAAAAAAATACATAGGAAATGCAATAAATTAATGGTTGCAGAAAAGACAAAATGAAAAGTTCTAGAGAAGTGAAATTCATCTCAGTTAATTTGTTTACTATAGATGACTACACCTGAATTGTCTATTTTTCCTCTACAGTTAATGGAGAGGTGGTGATAATCCCCCCAAGGGGAAGAAAAAGCGTACAACACTGAAGAAGTGCTAGATCAATACAGCCAGTAGGGAAAGCAGTATTTCTCTGCTTTTCTCACTCTTAAAGGTTCTGGGACACTCACTGCTATAAGAAACAGAATTATAAAGGAAAAAAAAGAAAGAAAAGAAAAACATAATCCCAACAAATGTAAAAACTGGGAGAAAAGTGGCTGGAGAGCAGCTCAGCAGGAAGGGATGTGGGAGTGCTGGTGACAGCAGGCTCAATATGAGCCCGCGGTGTGCCATGACAGCCAAGAAGGCAAACTGCACTGTGGGGTGCATTAACCACAGCACAACTAGACAGTCATAAAGAGATGATTCTCTCACTGTATTTAGCATCGGCATAGCCTCACCTTGAATACAGTGTGCAGTTCTGGGCTCCACAATATAAGAAAGGTGTCAAGGTACTTGAAAGCATCCAGAGGAGGAAAACAAAGCTGGTAAAAGGGCTGGAAGGCACCTCCTATGAGAAGTTGAGGACACTTAGGTTGTCCAGTCTGGAGAAGGAGGCCAAGAAGCAACCTCAGGGCTATCTGCAAATCCCTGAGGAGAGGTAGGACAGAGGGAGGTGCTGGCCTCTGCTCCCTGGAAACCAACAACAGGGCTTGGAACAGGAGAAAGCTGCACCAGGGGAAGTTCAGACTGGACATTAGGAGAATTTTCTTTACTATGAAGGCAGGAAAACACCGGAACAGGATTTCTAGAGAGGTTGTTGATGCCCCGTGCCTGTCAACATTCAAGATGCATTTGGGTAATGCCCTCACTAATAAGCTTCAGCTTTTGGATAGCCCTGAAGTGCTCATGCAGTTGGACAAGATCTTCGAAGGTCCTATCAAACTATCCTGTAAATTCCACTGATAGCAATACAGTCTCACCCTAGCCACTTTCCACAGTAAGAAGTGTTGTTCTCCTCCTTTGCTTGCACAAACACAGCTTTTCAAGGTAATGATGAGCTACTGTGCAGACAAAAATGTAACAAAAATATATTAATCTTGCTGATCCTGGTGCTGTGCCTTATGATCCAAGCATAATTTGTTGACTGATAATAGTATATAGGAGTGAGAAGAGCAGTTATAACTAATTTATTTCTTAGGATATCCCTGGGAAAATTTTAGAATCCTTCTTAGCAATGTCAAGACACCTCCAGCAGTGACACAGGATCAGTACCTCAATGACTGCAGGCAGGATGAACCCAACAGCATTCATTCTGCAAAAAGATCACAATCCTCTTAAACACCAAGGGTGAAACAATTCATAGCCAAGTGTGACTTTTACCCAAAGCTAACAAAAATGCTATTTCTGACTTTCCTGAAGCTCCATTGCTAAATGCCAACACCATTGGACATTCTCAAATTTACTTATGTATCCTGGAAGACAGCCTCAATTTAGTCCCCAGGATAGGAAGGAACCTGTTAAAAAATTATGGTTCAAGAGTTTCTAACAAATTGCATGGACAGTGCTTGAAGAAAACCAGTTTCACCAGACACTGAGATTCCCAAGACTACACAAATGCCACTGAATGCCTGTTTATCTTGAGTTCATTGCGTCCAAAACTGTTTTGGTGAGAAATACTATCTTTGGAGCTGGAAAGGGTATTCCCCCTGTACACTTTTTTCATTTCCCACAAGTAGCATTCTTTATTGAAACACAGGGACTGCAATGAGTTTGCATTTTCACAGAGTCAGAGAACAAGGAATGGCTGAGGGTGGAAGCCATCCCTGGAAATCACCTGGCCCAAACCCCTGCTCAAACAGGCCACCTATAGCAGGTTGCCCAGGACCACATCCAAACAGCTTTTGATTATCTCTGAGGGAGGCTCCACCACTTCTCTGACCTCTCCAGCACTGAGAAGAGGGGAAGGATCAACTCCCTCCACCTGCTCTCAATACCTTGCCTAACACAGTTCAGGTTACCATTATCCTTCTTTGTGGCAACGGCACGCTGCTGGCTCATATTCCACTTGGTGTGCACCAGGCCCCCTACAGCCTTCTCTTCTATGCAGCCGGGTCAACCTCAGCATGTACTAGCACCTGATGTTGTTCCTCTGAAGGTGCACAACTCTGCACTTCTTGTAGAACTTCATGGAGATCTGTGAGATCATTACTGCAGCCTGCCCATGTCCCTCTCGATAGTAGCATGTTCTTTTCATGTATATGCCACCCCTCCCACTTCTGGGTTGTCGGCAGATCTGCTGAGGGTACACACTGGCATATCACCCACATCATCAGTGAGGGTATTTAATAAGAGCCGACCCCTATTGACCCCTGGAATAGACCACTAGTTACTGGCCCCCAAAACTGACTTTGCACCACTTACCACTGCTCTCTCATTCTGGCTGTTCAGCCAGTTTTTGTTCTGTCTCGCTATCTGCTGATTAAGCATCTCTATAAGGATCTTGTGCCTCAGCATCAAAGGCCTTACTGAAGTAAGGAAAGACAATATGCACTGCTCTCCCGAGACCTACCTACCCAGTCATTTCATTGCAGAATTTTATCGACTTCCCCTTGGTGAAGTCACATTGACTACTCCTGATAGTTTTCTTCTCTATCATTTGCCTAGAAATGCTTTCCAGGAGTAGCTATTCCACCACCTTCCCAGGCATTGACATAAGGCTGACCAGCCGGATTCCCTGGACAGTCCCCCCGCCCTTCTTGAAGATAGGAGCGTCATCTGCCTTCCTCTAGTCACAGGGCACTTCTCCAAGGTACCATGATCAACCAAAGATTATCAAGAATATCCTCACAATGACACCTGCCAGCTCCCTCAGCTCTCATGAGTGCATCCCATCAGGGCCCACGGACATAACATTGCCCATATTGCCTGAGCTGACTCTCTTCTACCACATATATCTTGTCTTTGCTCAAGCCTTTCACTCTGGCCTCTGGGATTCACAAAGGCTGGTCTTGCCAGTTAAGACAGCTTTGTTAGCCTGAAGCAGCCTGTTCTCTCCAGTCAGCAGAGGAGCAAAGAGAGCCTACAAGAGTACCTCAGGGTTCAGGTGAAGTCTCTTCCTCCTGCAGGTGCTTCTGCTTCTGCAAGCTCCATGCTGATCAGTCTCTCCCCCTTAAATGCCCCTCCCTCTGTTAAATGCCCCTCCCTTTGATAAATGCCCCTCCCTCTGTTAAATGCCCCACCCTGCCCTCCTGGGTGGGCCACAATTAACCCATGTGGAATGGGTGCTGGGGTGCAGGAGGGCATGTGGTGATCTGTGTGGTGCAACAGGACCAAATCTGAAGAGTTTTGTGTCTGGGTTCTCCCAGTGACAGAAAAATGCGACCAAAATTGGGGTGTTTTGTGTTTGGTCAGAGGGAGGGCAGGCTGGAAACTTTGTGTCTCTGGTGCCACCTCAGTAATTACCCAGCGTGATCTCTAAAGACATCGAGGGGGAAGATAACACGGTCCTGGGGGACGTGCCTGTGACCAGGTGGTGAAGTACTCGTGTCTGTGGGTGTGCAGGTGACCTGGCTTGGTGTGCACACCTGAGCAGGGACAGCAAGGTAAGGGAGAGCGGGATGTGCTCAGCACACACAAGAACAAGCAGCAAACGTAGTGAGGAAGAACACGGACAACCACCAGAGACCCTCAGAAGACCACCAGTGCATTCAGGGACATTGGCATGTTTTTAACAAGTTATGGGAAATTGACTATATTGATAATCTCTCAGGAATGTAACAGATATGTATGTGTTGGCTGTTTATACCCCCTGTAGCTTGGACAATTTGGCACACACTCTAGGTGAAGCAATTCCCCGTGCATCTGGCACCGCAATTAAAGAATGCCTGCTTTCTAAAACTCCAAACTGAATTTCTTCAACCAACTTTTACAATATCAAGCCTAGAAAAGTTTGCTCAGAGTGCTGTCCATGTGAGTTTTGAATGTCTTCAAGAATAGGCATTCTACATCTCCGGGTCACTCGTCTCAGCATGTTAGGAGACTCTTCTGTAGTTTTCATTAGTTTTCATGCCTTTATTTTAGTTTTCATGCCTATATCTGATCATTAGGTCTGTAATACTAAAGAAAGTGCTCCCTCCCCCCCCTCTATCTCCTTGGTGACTGCAGAGTGACCCAGCTGCTGGCATGGTCCCGCTATTGCCAGATCCCAGGGCACCTTCCTAGTGTAATCTAAGAGCTTGCTTATGAGGGCACCTGCCAACATTCCTCTACTGGGGGCACCAAAGCCCACCATGTGAATGATGCGTGCCCTGGGCAGGAGCTGTTGGGCCTTCTGCAGCCTCGCCACCCTCCTGCAGCTGCTCCTCCTCCCCTGGGATGGGAACAGGGGTGGGGGGAAAGTAGCTGGGACCCCTACGCAGGGCAGCTGTGGAGCTGCTGGGAAGCTCTTCCGCATTGGATGCAGCGGGGATGTGATGGCAGGACAGGTCAGGGGCAGGAGTTGTCCCTGCAGAGGCAGTGCTGGAGGCTGGGAGGCCCAGCAGATGTTGGGCCTCCCTGCTGCAGTGGTGCACAATGATGTCAACAGGCTTCTGCACAAATATCACCGTGTGCCATCTCAGAGACAGCCACAGCAGCCGGATCAGGGCATTCTCATCCAAGCCAACGAGGCACAGACTGGACATGATGACACCCTCCGCTGCAGCTGCTTCCCAACATTCATGCCCAAAGAACTGCCTCAGCTCTCCACGCAGCCAGGGAAGCAGGGACTGAAGCAAATCTGGGTATTCTCGGAAGAGCGATGCCCAGGTGCTGGCCTGAACGGCACCCACAGAACAGCTGGGCGCAAATCCTACGGTCAATGACTGAGATGCTGCAGGGCGGTGGGAGCTGCGTATGGCTGGGCCTCCATGAGCTCTCCTTCTACGGTGGATGACGACGAAGGCCCCCACAGGTGGTCTGATGGTCACTTCTTCAAAGTTGTCATCTGTCTGCACCGAATGCACAATGGAGGTCACTCTCCCCTTGCAAAGGGGGCACTCAGGCTTCCTCTGCCCAGCGCTGGATACACTTAAAACAAAACCGGTGCAGGCACGGCAGTACATAGCCAGCATTACTCCACATGTCTAGGCAGATTGGGCAGCGCTTATCCAGTACTGAGGCCATACTCTCCACATGCTCTAAAGGGCTGGGCAGAGGTGGGACGACAAGCTGCTCCCTCCCACTGGTGTTGTAGCAGCTGCTGTCACACTACAAAAGGAGGAGAGGACAAGGTCATTGGCTGAGCCGGGGAGTGGTGGAAGAATTGTCCAGCACCCTCGAGGAAGAAACCCTTACAGATGACCAGGGGGATGTGCCCCACAGTGCTCATCTCTGCTCTTCCAAGATCACCTCCCGGGTGCCCTGGCTGCCTGAACCAGGCAGGGCCGTGGGAGAAGCTCTGCTGGCTCGAGGGCTGCTCCAGCAACTCCCAAAGCACAGCGCCAGGACCAAGGCAACCCTTGCTCCTCACTCCAGACCTCCAAACCACGCTTAGCTGGAGTGCAGGCACAAGCTGGTACAGAGACTGTACCAGCATATCAGCAGTGATGACCATGCGGTCACAATCCATCACTTGCAGACATCACTGTCTGCCAGTCAGGGACATCACAATGGCCATCCTCACATGCAACAATAGCCGTAGCCTGCACCAGCACTTGCACCACTGCACACAACCATGCAAGGAGAGCTCCTGGAAGCCCAGCTGCACACAGTCTCCCTCACCCTTCAGCATCCCAGCCTTTGGCTAGTGTTCCTCTGTGTGGCCTCCAACCCCACATCTGGGCATCACTTTGCCAAGACTACCCAGCTTTGCTCCAGTCCCTGCTGCCCTGGCTGCACCAAAAACTGCAGCTACTTCTTGGGGCTGAGAATCCCCAAGCAGATGTGGTGGAGGACCTAATGATGTCCAGCCTAAGCACCTTCAGGCTGCAAGAAAATGTCTTGATCAGGCTGCTGGGGTTCCTTCTGAAAAGTATTACAGCAATGTTTGTTCACCAGCTTATTGACTTTAGGCACCAATGCATTCAAGAGGACTGCCATTTGCTGAGCCTACAGGACTTCTGTACTGCCACGAGGCAGGAAGGCAGCCCTGTAGCTTCCCCTGGATCTGCTGTGTCCTTGGGAGAGTCTCCCACTTTTGCCCTGTTCCTCACCACCAGCTCTGCGAGAGATCCTCTACTGACTGCTCCTCATGGTGGTCTGACCCACCCCTCTTCTGTCCCTTTTCCTGTACTTGAGGATGAAGTGCCCTGGAAAGAGACAGAGGAGGCTGTGGCCAGTCCTGTGGCCAGTCCCTACACTGCTGTACAGGGCAGAGATCACTCACACATATTCTAAACTATTTTAAATAGCTGCTTTAAAAACATGAGTCCTTCTTCTTCCCACTCATACATATGAGAAGAAACAAAAAGCCAAACTAGAGCAGGCTGACTTTTCGTCAAAATAGTGAAGAATAGCTGGCTTTGAAAGTGGTTAAGCACAGGACAGATAAAGAAGTAAATCTTCCCAGTTATCCCTGTCATAGTGTGTGATCTCTGCTCAGATTTAGTTCTCAAATACATGCCAAGCCAAAGGTATCTTTGAACTCACACAGCTTTTTGACTGATTTTGTATTTGTAATCCCTTTTGAGCTGATGTAAATCCTCTGACATTCACAGTATGCTCTGACAAAGATTGTGTAGCTATATATAGATACTAGACTCAGTGAGGTGAGACATGATATTAATGAGTGTTTTAGTAATTGTAAAGCATTTGCTTACAGCTATACTGTAATACAGTGATTTTGTTTTTAGTTCATAAATTTAGAGAGGAAACTGCCTGCCAGTGAGGTAAAGAAATTTTCATAGATGGTTGAGAAGGTAATAACAACAGGAATGCTGCTAGAATGAGCTAATATACTTCACACTGCAACATTCTTTGGAATAGCGTAGAGCACCCTAGATTCATGTGACAAAGAGGATATGCACACAACATTACACAGAAATCAGTGGGTACTGAGATGATCATTATAACAGCCAGTCTCATGAAAACAGTCAGTGCACATGTGAATGGTTGTGAATATAAAGCCATGTGCATTAGAGAAACACTTTAGTTCTGAGTGCAATATTGTTATGCAAAGAGATGTATGGAATAGCCCTAATTTTTCCAGAAGTTTTTTCCCATGGTTAAAATCTTTTGGATATATATATATATATTAGTTTTGAGAGTCCTACTTGCTTAGCACTTTGAAAAGACAACATAGTTCCACTAGTGTGGATTCATTTGCTGTCTCAGTCTGTATTAGCAATCCCAACAATATCACCGATATGAAACATTTCCTTCTCAGTGGTTGATTGCTGTCTTAGAGAAGAACAGTTAAAAAAAAAAATGTCTTCTGTTAAACACATGCACTGAGACAATATTTATTTCTTTTCATTCCTGCACACAGTGTATTTGTAAAGGGCAAAGAACAATAAAGATTCAGCACCTCATTGTTGTTTCACTGAATCACAACTGCACAACTCTCTACCAGTTGGGGAATATTGACAAGAACAACAAGATACACTGGAGTTTATAAGTTTTCTGATCAGATACATCTGTACTCTCTCAAGCTCAGCTAAAGTCAATGATAGAAAGGAAAGAGCATGGGTGTGAGATTTTTTTTGGTCTTTGTGATATACTTGGTCTTGACCACATTCTTAAAGATAGCGTTTATCACTATGTTAGACAAACTAAACAGTTCACATGTGTTCTGCAAATTTGCTGTTTTTAGAGAAAGAAAAACAAACAAACGCATGCAAAATGCATGCAAGAACGTTCAACATTGGGGTTATCTTTGTTATAAATGAAGTCTCAATCTGAATTGAGTAATATTTATAAAGAAATATTTATAAAAGGTATAAAAGGCAAGCAAATAGCGCTGGGTGTGCAGGGAGTCTACACTCCACCAACACGCACACGAACATCAAACATTCTAAATACACAGAACATTGCTTTTACATACTAAACCAGAGTATGCCCGATTGTACATATGTACAATCAGAAAAGGTAACAAACAATCCTTTAAGTCTATTACTATCAATGTCTATTCCTGGGGGCGCATAGTTGGCCTGGGTGAAGTGCTCCCCTATCTTCCATGACTTCAGTCTCCATTTTCCATTCCTTTTCTTGATTACAAAAAAATCTCCATTTTCCATTCCTTTTGAACACTATGTCTTGCTTTAAGTTGTCAAGCAACTCGGTCTTCAAGCTTTATGTGTCCCGTTCCTCCCGGATGGAAGAAAAGCATATCCGTCTCCTCTTCAAGGCCAATAGTCTGGGTCAAAAGGCACGTCCAGGTCACCAGGGGGCGTAGCAGCAAAGGCCTGCGATGGTTGTAGTGGGGAGGGGGGGTGAGTGATGGTGTAGCAGTCGGATCAGTAAAGGATCCCGCAGCTCCCTGTCTGGCAAACCACACGTTTCTGACTGTGGCCCCACACGGCTCTTTAAGGCCTCAGAGACTGCTCGCCAGGTGCCGAACAATCCCACTGCAACCTTGTCGTTTTTAGTTGCAGAGTCACACGCCTTGACCTCAATTTGGTACCATGTTTCAGGATCACAAACTGTCCGATTGTTAATAAGGAGAATAAGCTGTAAGGTTACCAGGACAGTCTTTGTTCCTAAGGATGTATGATTCCCCATAATGTGCAGCTGCTTACCACCGAGGGGCAGCTGTGTGTGCGGCTCCACTTCTCTCAGCTCCAGCTTCTTCCCAGCTCCAGTGCACCCAGTTCCAGCGACTTTCTGTATGTGCTTCTTTGAGCTGTTTGCTGGATTAGGCCGAACCTATCTCAGTGAGGCGATCAATGTGCCTGTTCCCGTCCTGGTCTCCGTTCTGCTAGCCTGTTCCTTTTCATTCCTTCTTTCTGCTTCTTCATTGATGACATAACTTCATTATATCGTGTTGCCTTTTTTTTTAATCTTGAGGGCAGGCTCCCCTCTCATACCCTTCTCCCCACAGCAATTCTTTTCAAAAACGACTTTTCATTGATCAAACAACTTTGCATATAACAGCAACAGCAAACACCCAGCAACTTCCATGCCTTAACAGCTGGAAAACAAGCAACCCTAGATGGCATGGCATCTCCTGAATCACCCTTCTTTGTTCCCTCCAAACTCTTTTACATTCCTGATGGCCTCACCGTTAAGAGTCTGATGTTATCATTGACCATGGGGCTTGCCGACCCCCATGGCCACACTCCCACATCTCCCGTTTCTTTATTAATATCAACCATTTTCTCAACACGAATTACCACTCCATATACAACATCTTGGATCCCTGGGAAGGAGATCGTCACTGGAGCCAGAAGAGTTCTGAGAACTAAAATGCTCTGTAGCTAAGAGCTACTGCGTGCTGAAGAATCAGGGTACAAGTGACAACATTTTGAAGTCTCTGTGGCTGGAATCCAATGCAAGTTTTGTTTGCTTGTTTGTCTTCCTGCAGGAAATACCACATGGAGGTACTCTATATTCATTATAGAGTATTTTCATTGTATATATTGTATACATATATATCTATAATATATCACAGAATCACAGAATCACAGAATTTCTAGGTTGGAAGAGACCTCAAGATCATCGAGTCCAACCTCTGACCTAACGCTAACAGTCCCCACTAAACCATATCCCTAAGCTGTACATCTAAACGTCTTTTAAAGACCTCCAGGGATGGTGACTCCACCACTTCCCTGGGCAGCCCGTTCCAATGTCTACCAACCCTTTCGGTAAAGAAATATATACCTTTATATATATGCAGTATACATATACCTTTCGGTATATATTATATAGATATCTATACTTATTATAGAGTACCTAGAGGTACTCTATATTCATTGACACAGACACACACACACATTATAGAGTATATTCGTTGTATATATCATATACATATATATAATGTATACTATAGATATAGATATCTATAGTTTTATAGAGTACCTGGAGGTTGACACACACACAAACAGACACACACAGACACACATTTCCTCTCTCTCCCCCACACACACCCTTCTAGATTGTTCTTTTATTTGTTTCTTTTTATTGACACTGAGCATTTTGGTGGGGCGGGCCACCCTCCTGCCCCGCTCCCGGCGCCGAGGAGCAGCCGGTGCCTCGGGGCAGCCCCGGGGCTGTACATTTTATTCCCTGCCAGGCTGTATCCGTGTCTCCTGTCACACCCCCACAGCGGCTCCGCGCCGCCATCCTCTTCCCACTCCCACCCCTCTCCGCCCACAAGATGGCGGCGCCGCCCTCCCCGCCGCCATTCCCGCCGTGCCCCGCGCCCCGCATCCCCGCCCCGGCGGCCGGGGGCATCGCGGCGCTGCGGGCTGGCGGCGGGCATGGCGCTGGAGGCGCGGCGGATGGAGGGGGACGTGGAGGACGGCGAGCTCTCCGACTCGGACTCCGACATGCCCGGGGCCGGCTCCCCGGGGGGACAGCAGCAGGTGAGGGCGCGGCGGCTGCGGCCTTCCCGGCCCCGCCGCCTCCCGCTGTGGGTGCGGGCCGCGGCCGGGCTGTTGGGGGGGAGGGGTGGGGGTTTGGGGAGCCCCCCTCAGGCTCCGGTGGCCCTCGGGGGTTGGGGGCTGTGAGGGGGCAGCCCCGCGGCTCTGGTGGGGAACAAAAGGCACAAACAGCCCCGGGCACGCGTGGGGGCGGCGGGCGGCCTGCCCCGGCTGGAGGCCCGGCTGCGCCCCGGGGCGCTGGGGGAAGGGGGGGCAACGGGAGTGCGGCTGCAGTGCCCACGGTGTGTGCGGTAACGTAAAATACAGGTGTTTTGTAATGAAAAATAAGTCGGAGGCCTCTCTCCCTGCTTATAGGAAGAGAAGAGGTGTCACCCTAATTGTGGTGAGCGCAGTGAGGGATTTTAACCTCGGTGTAAAAGAAGCCGAAATGTAACTATCGCAGCACAGGGCACAGCTTTGTGATAAGGAACAGGCCGGGGGAGGCCTGGGATTAGCAATAAGGAAAGTGCTCATTGTATGGGCAGCGTGGCCAGAATTTCCCTCCAGGTGCGAATAGGCATTCTGGGTTATGTTGCCTGCGGTGTTTCCATGGATTAGGCAGGTTTGAATTGATGTTTTAAACTTACCTATCAGATAGGTGAGTTATTACTGTCTTATGAATATTGCAGCAATTGGACTTGTTTGTAGAAAATTCTAAACAAAACCTTTCGTTTTGTTGTTTTTTTTTTTTGGTCTTGTTTTTTTTGTTTGTTTGTTTCTTTAGTCTAAATTAGTAAGTAACTACGATGAGTCAGTAGCATGTTCTTGCTTTAAAAGAAGAAAAAAACGAAGCATGGGAGGCTCTTGCTGAATATGAGGGGGAACTTCTTTACTGTGCGGGTAACAGAGCTCTGAAACAGGCTGCCCAGAGAGGTTGTGGAGTCTGCTTCTTTGTAAACACTCAAAATTCTCTGGATGCCATCCTGTGCAATGTGCTCTAGGTGATCCTGCTCAGCAGGGGGTTGGACTAGGTGATCTTCCAAGGTCCTTTCCAACCTTGGCCATTCTGTGATTCTGTGAAAACAGAGTTCTTATCTAAGGTATTACCATCACTAACTGTTCATGTCCTGTCCTATGTGAATCAGAATCAGCACGCCCAGTTCACTTCTCAAAGTGTAAGCAGCATCCAAGTATTGTGGGTTTGTAGTTCTTTTTCTTCTTTTCCTTCTCACTAACGACCTGAGGAGCACTATTGTCATTACAGGTCACACTAGTTCAGATCTCATTCTGGCAGGTCAGACTACAGAGAAAACATTATTTTCTCTACTGTTACAAAACCTTTCACTAAGTTGATCTGGTGGTTTGCTTCCTTAAAACCTCTGTGCATGTGTCTCATCTGAATTGGGATTTGTAATAAATAGGTTTGCCAGTCTCTTAATAATCTAATTTAATGTGATTCAATAAAAGTTATGTTAAGCAGATCAGTGACTCTTGATTTGTTCGTTTGTGTTTTTTTTTTCCTGTAGCAACCATGCTGTAGAAACATTCAAAATAGAAGGAATTTCATAAGATGCTCGTGTCAACTGTAGTCCATAACATGTTTATAGAAGACTGCCCAAACAGCCATAAATCAAGATTAATAACTGCTAACTAATGAAATTTTTGGCATGACTTGATAGCTCTTTTTCTTTACAGAAGTAATTGGATTAACAGACATTTATTTCTTCATTCCAGAAATCTCATGATGGCAGTAATTCAGGCAGACCTTTCCAGAGCAGCATTTCATCCTGTGCACCAAGCGTTCCTTATCGAACAACCAAAAGTGTGGATTCAAGTGATGAAAGCTTTTCCGAATCTGATGATGACAGCTGTCTGTGGAAACGAAAGCGACAGAAATGTTTCAACCTTCCTCCTGCAAAGCCTGAGCCTTTTCCACTTAGCCAGAGCCACCAAAAACAAACTGCTGTAGGTGGTAAGAAGGTCAACAATATTTGGGGTGTTGTGCTTCAGGAGCAGAATCAGGATGCAGTGGCTACTGAACTTGGGATTCTAGGGATGGATGGCAGTATTGACAGAAGCAGGCAGTCTGAGACTTACAATTATTTATTGGCTAAAAAGCTGATGAAGGAAGCTCAGCAAAAGGAGGCAGAGACGTTAGATAAAGAACTGGATGAATACATGCATGACGACAAGAGAACAACTCCAGCAGAAGAGGAAAATGGACAAGGCTTTCTCAAACGGAAGCGGCCTGTAAAAGATAGACTGGGTGAAAGGCAAGAAATGAAATATAAAGGAAGGTATGAAATAACAGAAGAAGATTCAGAGGAAAAAGTGGCGGATGAAATAGCTTATCGGTAAGTTGGGTAATGATGCATCTGCCTCAAATATGGGTAAGATGTTGATAGAAACAAAGGCAAAAAAAAATAAAAAGCTTTCTAGTTGCTAAACCTGTAATACCAATCTACAAAAAGCATGAGTGCCTTGTGGCAATTTCCAAAGTCCTGAAATGAAAATACAGCATTATAATTGTTGTCTTTTAGAGGCATCCAGGAATGGTGTCCAAATTTTTGTTTCTTTTTTGAAAAAGGTAGGTAGAGGTTGACTGGAATGATGTGTTATTTGACAGCAGTGACAAGGACAAATACTGTTTCTCACTATTTAGATTTAACAGTGGCTTTTTGAGGAAATACCCTGTATTTGAAAATGCGAATTTAAAGTTAGACACCAACGTACACATGCTGTTTTCACCACGAAAATCTGAGTTACAAATGTTTGAAACTGTAGTTGACTTAGGTAGTGTAGTGCTTTGGAGCATGGCTTCTGAAACAAGTTTGCTTCATATGCATGGAACATCCCTGTCTGCAGAGACATTTCACTGCTGCTGTATCTCTGAGGGCTGTGCCAGGGCTAGACACCAGCACTGAAATCAAGCGTCTTGTCTCTTTCTGTGTTGTAAAACTGCTGCTGTTCTGTGCTAATCTATGCCAGCCATTGTTAGGGTTATCAGGTTTCAGCCACTCACATTATCAAATCCTTTTCACAGTCCTGCTCTTTACTGACTGCACACTGAGCTGAGAATCTGAGAATTTACCTGTTCAAAATCCTATTGTTTGGTTGTTTTGTTTTTGGTTTTTTTTTCTTTTTTTAAGGGTTAGTTTTCAGGTAAGTTTGTTTCCCCTATCAGTTTGCTTCACAGGTTCCTTTAAGCTTGCACTGGCAGGGCTGACTGATGCAGGGGGATATGGGAGCACATGGCAGTAGTGATTTAAGATTGATTTAAGCTGCTGTAGTCTTTTCAGCAGTGCAAAGGAACAAAATTGATAACTAGGCAACAGGAGCTAAAAGACTTACTGATTTGTCTATTGACATCTCAGCTGGCTTTGTTGATCGTTGTTGATTTCTGACATATGATATTGGTATTGCCAGATGCTGAAATTTAGCATTTAGGCAGTGATTAATGCTGTTATCAGTTCTCACTATCTTTTCATTTGTGAATCTGAAAACCTAGAGCATGTCTCTTGTAATAAACTTTTCTTTATTCTGTTTAGCTTCGTGACAATAAGGGCAGAAGACCCCCTTTTTTTTTCTAATTGCTTATAGGAATAGCTGCACTGAACTGTCAGTAGAACTGTGCTTATAGAGATGACAGCACCATTATTTAAGCTGTGCTGTGCCATCTGTGTGTGGATTCATAACCTTGTGTTGTGCTGGCCCACACAGTGCATGGAAATAAAAGAGGTTTTCTGTCAGTCTTGTATCATTTTTGCCTCCTATCTTGCTCAGTCCCTGTTGGCTCTGTACAGCATTGAAGTGCCCAAAAGAGGGTTGTACTGGGGTAGAATGAGCACTAGGTGGAGATCTGACTTCGTCAGGCTGCTGCTGCTGCTACTAACAGAAACCTTTGCAAGGAGTCCTGGTTATCTTAAAGTTGTCTGCATCTTTGAGAAACCTTTTCCTCTCTTCCAGTAATTCACAATTTAGAACTCAATCCTGTAAAAATATAAGAAAGCATTCACTTTCTGATGCCTTATCATTCTTTGAATTCAGTTAAGCACAGTATAAAATGTAGCTGGCTTGGTGAACATTTGCATGGTTAGGACAATTGTCATTATGTGGGGAGATTCAACATGTAATGTATGTAGCTGTGTAGCAGTCATGTCACTTAAGAGTGCTGAGGGCTGGAGATGGTTTTCAATAATTTTTTGTAATTGCTTTGATCTGTTGGTCCTCAAAGGTTAAACCTACTGTTTGGGACTGTGCATAATTAGCTTTGTCATTTAAAAAAAGAGAGTTCAGAGCATGAACTCTTGCTCTGGACAGGTAGTTTTGGTTTGTGGGCTTAGGTTTTTTTCCAGTAGGAGTTCACAGTTTGGCACCGTGACTTGATGCTGTGTAAAAACTTCTCTTTCATGCAGACTCACAATAGAAAACTTTACTTAGGACATCGTTGTTGGAGGAAAAAAAAAAAGCAATTTAACTCAGTAGTAATGATTTTTTTTTTCTGATGGCATTTGATAAATTAGGTAGATAGTTCGATAGGTTGGATCACAGGTTGGTCAACATCCTGTTTTATTTTTTATTATGTGGGTTTGTTTGAGTTGCACATGCTAGAGGGTAACTTTTACATTTGCTGTTATCTCCTGTTACTTGTTGATTTAACTTTCTAACTAGCCTAAATGTTACATTTACTGTAATGTCCGTCTTCCTTGCTGACTTTGTACTCATAATTCTTTTAAAGTCACAGTCTGGTGTAACACTTCTTTTATATTGTAATTTCAGATGTTTAAAAAGAGCTTTACAGTTTCTTATATGACTTAACTTCGTACAATTCAATAGAGGGTAAGCAGTGCATTTTTATTGAAATAATTATTTAAAATGCGTACTTTAGAAGTTACTGGTACTTAGAAACTCAATATTATAAAATTAGATTTTAGAAGCCACAGAAACACATCTAAATTTGTAGACACAGGTTTCAGCACAGTTCCACGTCCTGCAGAATACGTTGGTGATTATGGAAGTTTTTTGGCTGATTTTACTTGAAATTCTGCTGACTGTACACGTGTTTGTTTGTTTGTTTGTTTGTTTTCTCTCTTTAAAGACTTTGTGAGCCAAAGAAAGATTTAATTGCCCGAGTAGTGAAAATAATTGGAAAGCGAAAAGCCATTGAACTGCTCATGGAAACAGCCGAAGTGGAACAAAACGGTGGACTGTTCATAGTGGTAAGGAGGATGTGATATTGTGGGTTTGGGGGTGGTGAGGATGCTTTTTACCTGCAGAACATTTAAGTAATACATGTGCTATTGCATAGCCTTCACATTTAACAGGTTCTCCCAGATGCCATGCGTTAACCTATGGCCTTCTTTCAGGAAGGAGGTCTTTCATTTGAGCCATGAAAGTGACTTAGCAGTAAATACTAACGTAACCATCAGCAGGGTTAGTGAAAACAGTGAGATGAATGAAACTGGAAATTGCCCAACTTTGTGTCCTCAGATCAGTATATCTTTTGCAGCATTAACATGTGTAACCTGCCTTCTCTTGTGTTGTTTCCCTCACAAAATTAAGAGTAAGGAATTCTAAATCCTGAATAAAAGCTTCTATTTTTAGGCTGTTTCCCAGCACTAGCCTACTTAGGTTAATCAGCATGCAGTCAGAGGTCAACGTACTGTGCTGAGCATATCTAATACCACATTTGAAAACGAACTTAAAAAAGCGAATCTGTTAGCTTTATTATAGGACTTCTAGTTTCTGTACCAGGAGAGCAGAAACAATCACTGATTTCTATTACAAATTATAGTAAAAATCCTATATGTAATGAATAGGCTGTAAGTTTCTGCGCATGTTTTTGTTAAATAACGATCTATAAGGCAAGTAAAAACAAAAATTGAAGGAGGAGCAGGAAGAACCTTGTATATAGTTTATATTTTTTACATTCAATCATTGCAGATCAGGTCCGTCTATTGTCATGAAGGATTAAAGTGTTTAATAAGTATTTACAAAGGAGATGAAAGGTACCACTAGGAGTTGTGTCAGGTTCTTTGGCTTGCAGATCTGAGTATACCATTCGAAAGGCAGATTTCGTATACTGTTTGTCTTGGTTGGGATTTTGTGCAACTAGGTTGATAAAAGTATGTGGCATCTGCTGTTTCAAGAACAGATATAAAAATTGAGGCTCCTTGTTAAAACTTTTGGATCGTGTTTGTTATGCAGTAGAAAAGTGTCATTTACTACGGTATTAGTGCATTAAAGCAGCAGCTCAACTTTATATGATGTGAATTGTAGTTGAAAAATATTCTGATAATTAGTATTTATAATTCATAAAGATTTCAAAGTTGGGTCTGTTCATGCTTTGGTATTAGGCATCACGCCACTGTTGTTCCGCTGAAAACTACTGCATTGTGGGGAGAAACTTACGCCTTAGGCAAAAATGCAAAATTCTGCGGATAAATAAATTAGATTCTACATAACTTTATGAAATTAATGTTTGACTTTGTACTATGCTTTTATGTTAGGAATATTTTGAATATCTAACCTAATACATGCATTATTGCAGATAGCTGTGAGGGTAGTTAGAATACATTAGCATTTTATGTCTTCACTACCAAAATCAGAAGCAGAGTGTAGCTGAACAGTTTGGTGTGATGTTCTAAAACGGATTTTTTTTTTGAAGCCTCATGCATTACCTGTCAAAATATAGCAACCTAGTAGTTGACCTTCGTATGATTAGAACAGCCACAGGTAAAAAAGAACCATGGTGATGGTTATATAACACATAGCACAGCAGAACTTAACCTTTGTCTCAGTAGAAAGCATCGTCTTTTGTGCTGTTTTTATATTAAAAAGTTCTTGTTAGGTTTGCTGTTATCACTAATTCACTTTTTCCCTGTTAAGAATGGTACCAGGAGGAGAACACCAGGGGGTGTTTATTTAAACCTGCTGAAGAATACACCCAGTGTCAAAGAAGAACAAATCAAGGTAAAATTGTCAAGAGTACAAGTGGTTGTCCAAAGTAAACTGGGGAGGGAAGGGTATTCTGCCAGAAATATTACAGTTGAATCCTTCTCATAACTTTTAGCAAGTTTAATTCTATTATTTCAAAGGAAGTATATTCCAAAGAAGCCAACTTTTCATATTAAAAATACAAGCAAATAACAATTGATGAAGTACATTCACACAATGCAAAAGGAACACCTTTTATGTATTGCTAGTCACAAAAACTTGTCAGGAATAATGAGATTGTAGAGTCTGAAGAGTTAAATGCTGTATTTTCTTTACTTTGTATATGCTTTGCAGTAATGTTACCTACAGTTACTTTAGTTATTACAATATTTTTCCGTTTGGACTAATGGTGTTCTCTTATAAAATACTTCTGTCCTGCACAGCTCCAACTGTAGCACCAGGCAGTATGGACTGTCACACTGTGATCTGAACGTAGTTTTAACTGCTCTCTGGCCTCATGTGTGGTGATCACCACCTTAGTTTTGAGAGCTTGTAAATATTACTGCTTTTCATTTTACAGTATGAAATGGTCTTATATGGTATTTTTCATGCTATTAAAACAACTTGGTTCTTGAACAGTATTTGCCATTTATTTAAGTGTGTTTCAAGAATGACTCACTTACTTGCTTGTAGGTGGCTAGTGGCTAGAGCTCACTCTATGTATCATCCCAGTACCTTGTACTGGGAAAGAGATGAATTAATGTAAATGTGATCGTTTGTTATATGTTTAAAAAAAAATCTTCCACAGCTTACAGTAGTCACAAGAAGATGTGACTTTAATCGCTTCACCTCATTTCCAAATTAAAAAAAAACTCGTAATAGAAACTTTCTGTCAGGATTTCTCTACAGGTCACCTTTAAAAAATTCTTTCAACTTGGCAAACATTTTTCTTAGAGTGGTGTACATTGGAAGAGACCTCTGGAGGTAGATCCTCTGGCCTGCACAAAGCAGGGCCCTACTACTAGAGGTTGCCCAGGACCACATCCAGGCAGCTTCTGATTGTTTCAGAAATTCAGCCAACTGAAAATTATGCCAATATACGGTCATCCTTACAGTCAAAAAATATCTGCCAGTGTTCAGGAGGAACCTTCGGTGTTTCAGTTTGTGCCTGTTGCCTCTTGTCCTGGCACTGGGCACCACTGAAAAGAACCTCAGTCTGATTTCTTCACGCTCTTCCTTCAGGTATTTGTATATATTAATGAGATATGAGCCCTCTGGAGCCTACTTTTCTCCAGGCTAACATCTTAGTGGCCCGTCACTGGACTCTTTCCAATATGTTTGTATGGCTCCTGCAATCGGTAGCCCAGACCTGGACACAGCGCTCCAGGTGTGGCTTCTCCATCGCTGAGGAAAGAGGAAGGATCACGTCTCAGAAATTATATAATAGAATTATTTATGGGGCATTTTTCTTAATTGCTATCTCTACTCATACTTTTACTCTGAACAATGTATATATTAGTTATTGCTCAGCTAGTCATAAAAAGAATTTTACTTCATGTTCTCTTTAGGAAGCACTAGTAAAATGAATGTACCAAATTTTTTTTTTTCTTTCAAGAAATATTCTATCTGGAAAACCAAAAGGAGTATGAAAACAAGAAAGCTGCAAAGAAGAGGAGAATACAAGTTCTAGGAAAGAAGATGAAAAAAGCCATCAAAGGGCTTAACCTGCAAGAATACGATGATGCATCTCGTGAGACTTTTGCTAGTGATACAAATGAAGCTCTGGCTTCTCTGGATGATTTACAGGATGGACACCATGAAGCAAAAATGGAACCTGAAGATATTATAGAAATTGATAATGCTCATGATTTGGAGATCTTTTAGTTCACAGTGATAACAGTCTCCATGAAACACATTAAATGAGTGTTTCTTATTATCCCATGACTTCATGTTTTCGTAAGTTGCAGAAACATGGGAAATATTTGATGGTGAAGAAAGTGACATAATTCCTAGCTAAATTTAACAGCATGAAACGTTAGTTGTCCTGTTATTTGTTTGCTAAGTCTTCAAAAACTGATAAGATTTTTCTAGATGACAACTGCATCACTATGTTTGTCCCTTAGGAACTTCTTTCTAGCCATATATTAAATTTAGGCATTAAGTCTGTTTTAACCAAATACATCCTACGTAATCTGCTGAAGCTAACAAAGTTGCCATCAAATGGGGGATATTCCTAGTTACAGCTGGACAGAAACACGATTTTAAAGTCAGTCTTGATGTGAAAGATCCTGTGGTCTTAATATGACAGTGAGTTGACAAGAATAGCAATGTTTATAGGATGAAGACCTGTAAAAGCAGATTGGCTTGTGAATTAACCAAATTTTCATAGCTACTGACTTTTGATAACAACCTTGTAAATAAGTACTGTTGAACAATGGATGTTGTAAATTTCTGCAGCAGTTCACTCCATTTTATAATAGTGGTTTGAGCTTCCAACTTGTTCTGACTAAGCTTTTTCTGTGAACCCACAGACAACTTAGACAGATTTTTTTGTTCTAAAACATAAAGTGAATTCTTTCCTGAGCAGAGATTTAATTTGTGTTTCATTTGACGGGGTCTGTAAGCTCTATGTGCAGGTATGAATATTGCAATTCTTGTCTCCATGCTTTTTCTCATGTGAAGTAGAATTAAGCAATGTGCAGCTTGCAAAAATTCAGAAGTTTTTCTTTGCCTGAATCTAAAGAAAATAATAGTATGCAAAAGATAATTTTATTGGTGCAGAAGACTTATGTAGTTCGTAAGTTTGAAGATAACTTTTACATTGAACATTGTGTTTAATATAATTGAAGAACATTTGCAACACTGATATGTATGATATCTTGGTCACTAATAAGTTGTGGTTTCTGTGAATATATGCTATTTTCAGTATAAAATCTTTCGCGTTGTTAATTCACTTTCAAACCCAACAACAAAGTTCTGGCATGAATTTTGCTTACCTGGAAGTCTTTGGATTTCAGAAGCAAAGCATATCACTGAAGCACATAAAGAAATTACTGTCAAGAGTAACATTTAAAGCACTAAAATGTAATGCACTAATATCTTGAAAAAGACATCTTAAACATGCAACACATTCCGTTATGTGCTTTCCAATTTAATTAGAGCTGTTCTGCGTTTTTCTGTGCATGCGCCTGTTGTTCATCAGATGTGAAGCACACCTTTGCTGATAACATTTGCTGTCACTGAAGTAGCAGAAGGTTTTAATTTATTCGTCGGCTTTTCCTAACACACCTGTGGTGATCAGAGTACTAAACTGGTACATCATGTAAGATACAGAATTTTGCACCACTTGATTAGTTTGGGGCTGTAGCAGTGATCCTAGTTTTGGGAATATCTTCAAAATATTGTAGATGGAACAGCAAATTTTTATTAGGTTAAGGTTTGGGGGTTTTTGTTTTTCTGTTGTCAGGTGATTTGCTGCTAGTTACTGTGTATTTTTTTTTATGTTACTGGTTTTAGGGTTTATTTCCCAGGTATGGACTACTGAAACAGTGTATAAAGTTGTCTTTTTAACGAAAGGAAGATCATGCCAACGATGTCTACTGTCTAACTGGCATTTACTTGTTTTCTGTGTGTGTGTTTTTTTTTTTTTCCCTCTTGCCTATTGTCTATGGCTTTTACCGTGGTCCTTTCAAAAGGAAGTACATCTCCTGTGGGCTGCATCTGTTTGCACAGCGTGGCAATGGCCACACCTAAGTCTGTGGGTGACGGAGTTTGGGGCTGGTAGAGGCAAGACTTGAGCTGAGCATGGAGCTCAGTTCTGCAGCTGAGGAGCCCAGAGATTTGGAAGAGTGGGATGCTCAGTCCAACTTGGTTTTCACGTTGGCCTGATGCAAATGTGTAAGGGTGAGAGAGAACACGTTGTGATCTTCCTATGTATTGCTAGAGGTCAGGCTTTTTTCTCTGTATTTAACTGAGTTTGCTGAAAAGTGGGAGGAACGTTTTGGTGATCATTGGCAGCTTCCTCATCAATCAGTTTTGCATTCATCCATGCTTGTCTTTTCCCAAAACTGCAGAGCAAGAAGCACAGGCTAAGGCTTCAGTGTTTTTTTCAACTGACAGGTGTACTGAATTTATTTAGTCTGTGCTGCACTGGTACTTGCAGAGGTAGTGGCTCTACAGTGTTTGTCATAAGTTGTGACCAAACTGAATGGCATTTTGTCTGGAAGCTGATGTTCCTGGCTGTTCAGGATTCTAGTAGATGATGCTATACAGACAAAAATGTAAACATAAAGGTTGTGGGTTTTGTTCTTGAGAAGTTTCTCTGCTGGGCACATGCAACTGACACACTAGGTCTACTTGAGCTTTTACTGCCAGGACAGACATCCTCCATCCACCAGGAATATACAAAAACATCTCTATTGTGTCCGAGGCAGACAGTGGCAAATAAGGGAAGTACAGTCTCATTTGCAAACACAAAGCTTGTTTGTGGGCACTTTTCTCCCATATATTGACAACCCAGATAACTACATTTTTCTGTATCACCGGAAAAATGGATTTATTAATGATCCAGGTTCATAGTGGATAATGAAAGCATCACTTCATATATAAATATGATATTACAGATCCCTCTTCCCCTTCCAAGTACATCTGAGTCTCATGTATCCTTGTTGTCTTTTCAGACGTAGTAAGGTAACTTGAAATCATTTTTTTTCTTCCAGGATTATTGTCTGTCATTTAGCGAAACACTCAAGTATGGAATGACCCAGTGCATATTGTGATGCCTTCAACAGAAGACACGAAAAATAAGTTCAATTTTAAGGTAGCGATAGTGAGATTTGAAAGCATTTTTCTGCTGTACGTAGCTAAACAGTTGTCCCACATTCTTAAAAAAAAAAAAGTGCTCCTAGGCTCCTAGCATCATTTACTAATTGATAAGCAGAAATGTACTAATTTCTGGCAGAGGAGGGAAAGCTAAATTTGCTATCTTTCTGCTCTGCTACAGTAAATTCCTCTAGGTCTTATCAGACTGTGTCTCCTTTGTAATGGTGTGAGAAACAGCTAGATACAGAAATGTCTCTCAGAAAGAGACAGATACTCTGTCACATATGCAGGGATTCTCATCATACGGATAGGTTTGCTAAACACTGAGTGGTGTCTGAAAGACCTATTAGGAGCCAAAGAGGGAGAGGAGGGGCAAAACAGCAACAAGAGGTATTATTGGGTGTTGGAAAAGGTGAAGGAAAAGGAGAAGACTGCATTAATTATGACAAACTATTGTTTTGGAGAAGAATTTCTCATACTGTTTCAGAACAAAACAAGATGTGAAGATATTGACTGGGTGATTAAGAAACTAACAAGTTTTTCAGAAGTTCATTTAAATCTGTTAGAAAGCTTGGCTATGACAGCCCTCCTTACTTATCTCCTTAATTTATGCCATCCTGTGCTCCTGCTGTTTTGACACAGAAAAGTATGCCAGAGGCAACTTTTTAGAACTCAGGTTAATTTCAATGTATAGAGAAGAATTGTAGCCCAGAAAATAAGAGCTTACTTGTTTGCCATCACTGCTATTGTAGTTCCTAAGTCAGCAGTAGTCCAGAGATACAAATTTTTTTCTACATTACTGTGGTAATTTCACTGTTTGGGGAATACTGAGCCTATATTTAATGCATCGGGGTTCTCAGCCGGCAGATGTATAATCCACTGGCAACCTCTGTGGAGACTAACGCCTCTTGGTATTTTGCATCTGCTGCATCCTGTTTCACATGTGGCTCACCAGGCCTTAGAAAACATTTTCAGAACAAAGCTTCCCAATATTTAGAAAGGATATTTTGAAGCTTTCTCACTTCCTTATCTGCAATACTGGTGGATTACCTTTTTCAGAGCTGTACAAGGAGGAGGGAAGACTCAGCTGTGATAGACTTAATATTGCCCAAGCCAAAACCATTTCTAGAATCACACCTAGACCTAAATGCTGATAACCAATGAAAATGAGAAATACATACCTGAAAGTCACAACACAAAAACTAGGTATTCAAGATGCTACCTTTAACATCAAAATTTGTGTCTTAAATGGAAGATTATTCTTGTTTTGTTTGCTTTAAAAATATAGTAAATGAACAGTAAAATATCTTGAAACATTTTCTCTTTAGATATATTCTTATTTTGATGTGGTTTTGTTTGTTTGTTTGTTTGTTTGTTTTTGTGATTCAGCATACCAGCATTCTTCTGTAAAACATTTTAGCTTTGAAAGGCATTCTTAGTTTTTTCAAGAAACTGAACTTTTTAATTTGCCTCCTACATTTTCATTTGTTCTACAAGTTTTGGTGGTTGTTTTTCTGTTGTTGTTTGGTTTTGTCTTCTAAATAATAACGCAGCTATTCACAGATCCTGTTTTACAGATGTTATTAAGTTACCATTGGACTGAGTTTTCCACTGACAACTTTTATCCACTTGAATTTCTCTATTCAGCATGCAGAAATTGGTGGAGTATACGCTGAGGCTCTGGAGGGAGCACCAGGAAACACTGGGCATGAAGAAAGAAAAAGCCCTCCAAGGAAAAAAATAATGATCAGGAATATTAGCAAGTACTAATCTGCTGGTACCCTCCATGTAGTCTCATTTCTGCAGATACTGGACAACTGTTACTTCTCTTCTATGCAGGAGAAAACCCTTTCTTCTTCCATTTATCTATGGAATGGTATAGCCTGTAAGGTTTAAATTGCATACAAAATTAATCAAATTGCTGCATGGGTTATACAGAGAAAAGTCAAAAATGTGCCTTAAAGTTGACTTGCTGTCTTTGGTAAAGGAGAAACCAAAGCATTTTGGACTCAAGATTTTGGTGGAAAATCAAATGTCCATGTAGATGGACAGGAGATAGATAGGTGGCAGCCTACTCCTGTGCTGTGTGCTGTTTCTTCTTTTAAAGTCCTTATGGCTTTCTCTTATTCCTCCCGCTTCATCTGAAAGTGAGCCTATTCTTTTTTTTTTTTCTTGTCTTCAAGATATTTTTCAGACCTGTCTTAAATTCTCTCTTGTTTTGGCAGTATTCTTATTTCTCTGCCTAACTCAATATAAATAAAAATACTTTTTGGAAGATACACAGCCAAATATGGTTCTGCAGCATCACAGAATGGTTGAGGTTGGAAGGGAGCTCTGGAGATCATATAGACCAACCCTCCTGCTCAAGTAGGGTCACCTACAGCAGGTGGCACATCAGCTTCTGGAAATTGTCCAACTCGTATTGCTTTGATTGCTGGGTTTGTCTCTAACTCATCAAGTGGGTTGACACATGTAGTGGTCTCTCAAGCATAGTACAGTAGAATAAGATTGTCTGAAGGAAGAATTTCTGATCTACAGTCACT